CTTCTTCATGGCACCAAAAACAGACGTTATTAGTGAAGGTGCATTCATTGGCATAATGCCCTGGCTTTCCACATTTGTAACAAGTGAGTTCCACGCTGCATTTCCCAGCATGTTTCTTCTTGCACCTGTCACACCACTTGGCTTCGGCTCCTCCTCCGAATTTTCTCGAACCAGTCTTCGAGAACTTGTTCTTCTTATTGGAACCTGAAGTTTCTTCAAACTTTCTCTTTTCGCCAACTTCAACCTTGCTGGCAGCTCTCCCCTTAATCATATCTTCAACAGACTTGGCAGCCCAGATAGCTGCCTCCAAAGTATGTGCCTGACGTACTGGCACCGCATACTCCCATGGAAGTCTCTTTGCGTATCTGTCAATTTTTGCCAGCTCATCTGGGACAATACGCAAGGAAAACTCCATTTTTTCTGTGAAGTTATTCGTATATTCGTCAACGGTCATACTCCCCTTCTTCAACGTTAGAAATAGGTTTTCAAGCTCAAGCACGTTTTGGGCCGAGCAGTACTTGCGCTTGAAGTGCACCAAGAACTCTGCCCAAGTCAGTTGCAGTGGCTCATTAGGGCTTAGGGTTTTCCCCATAGTGTTCCACCAACGAGCAGCACTACCCCTGAACTGACGTACTACAAATGTGGTTTGTAACTTGCCTTGGCAACCACAAGTCATGAAAGCCAATTCCATTTCCGAGATCCAATCCATTACTCCGACAGGATCTTCTTTTCCAGTGAAAGTTGATGGCTTGCAAGTCCTAAAGTCTTTATACTTGCACCCATTTCTCTCCACTCTATCTTCGTGGTTATTTCTCCCAACCACAAGCGGATCAGTTTGACCATTAGATCTACTGTTGTTTCCTTCTTCAGATCGATCGTCATTCAATTCACATTGTTCAACAGGAACTGAAGGTTTATCCCTGTTATTCAGCAACATTTGACTCAATTCCTCCCTCTTTTCAGCCATCATAGTCTGAATCATAGTTCGTACTCCAGCCATGGTGATGGGTTCTGGTGCAGCTCCTACTATAGGCACCTGTTCCACCACTTGGGGTTGAGGTTGTTGGTTTCTGTTTGCATTTCCCGCTCCACTTCGAGTTCTTTCCATTATAATCTATATACCGAATAAGGCGAATTTAGGTCTTTATCCTTGATAGATATTTCAATTCCCTTATCACTCCGAAACGTTTACATGTTAGTTATAATATCGTAATCATACGCTTAGAATCCTACACACATAAGGTTTCCAGATCCGGTCGGCAATAGACCATAGATCCGAACAAAGTATGTCACTACATCATATCATATAAGAGTAAATCTCAAAATCGGAAAAAAGTGGTGTGTGCTCTACAATCATCCTGAACTCTTCCCTTTCGATCCTGAAGTACCTGAAACAAAAACTAAAAACCGTAAGAAAAAAGCTTAGTTAGTTCCCCAAAGTACCATCTACAATACGTAAATAAACACATATTGGTCCACCGCCCACATCGGGCCTCGCCCGACATCAAGTCCCTCGTGTAACACTCGGTTTCAAATCGCTTCATTATTCGGGGTCGTGAACCGATCATCAGTTATCTTAAGGCTTAAGGCCTCGGGGGAAGAGAGAATTAGCCCATTTTGGATGTGGCTATTATAGATTAAGTGATCCGAGTGTTCGATTGTGTTTTAGAGCCCAATGGTATAATTGTAATTTGGCAGTTTGGGCCTTTATGAATTTTGGGTTTTTGTTTGGTACGTCTTAAGGTGGGGGCGACTTATTAGAAGTGTAGGGCTTCTCGTCACCTTTCCATGGATATAAAGTTTGTCAAAATTGGACTTAGATCGAGGGAGTTATGGCCAAATGAAGTTTAGGTGTTTTGGAGCTTGGTCGAGTATGCGGGGCGTACTCACCAAATATGTTGGGGAAATGACTGGTCTGATCACAAGTGGTTCTTGAGTACACCGGACGTACTAAGGGGTACATGTGGCGTACTCCCTTCAGCTAGAAACCCTCATTTTTAGGGTTTTACCCCTATTTAAGCATCTTTTATTCTTGAGCCGTGTCCTTTAAAAGCCTCCAAGCCTCCTAAACCATAATATTCGACCCCTAGCCACCATTTTTGAGTTGTTAAGCTCTTGTGAGTGATTTTGGAGTGTTCTGAAGCATTTTGAAGAGTTTGAAGTTTGTTGAAGGATCATCACTTGGAGTGGCGTTTGTAGATCCAGAAGTTTCTCATCTTTTGCAATATATTAAAGGTAAAAAGCTCTCATCTTGGAATCTCTTTGATTAGATCTATTCATGTCATGATTTTATGCTTTTGGTCCCTTTTGGGTTAGTTTGATGAGTTGAGTCATTTATGGGGTTTATCCTTTTAGATCTGGGCATATTATGAGTTTCTTAAGCTTAAACGTGCAAGCTTTATGGTGTTTATGGTCTCATGCATGCATTAAGTCATCTAATAAGCTCTTTTGAGCTCTAGAGCCCCATTAATCCATGCATGCACATAAATTTGGCAACTTTATGTGATTAACCACCTTAAGGAAGTTAAATATGAGCTTGGGTCGTGGTCTTAATTGCTTAAGAGCTAAAATGGAAAAGTTGTCCAAGTTGGTGAGTACGCGGGGCGTACAAGCATGTACGCTGTGTGTACAAGCCCTTTAAGCAGTACACTGAGCGTATAAGATGAGTACGCCCCACATACTTAGCAGGTTGGATCTTTTTTGTTTTGGGTTTCAGTTTTGGGCTAGGGGGCTTGGTTATTTTGGGCGATTTTGGGCCATCAAAATCTATGGTTAGGCTGTTGAGATTTTTTTGGACTTTCTTAGGAGAAAGCCCATGAAAGGAATTGGGCTCAATTTGGAAAATTGGGCCACAATTGGGCTTTGGATGATTAAGTTGGATTTTAGGCTCTTTTGACAATTAGATTGGACCTTAGCCTTGGGCCAAGTAAGAGTAAGGGTAAAAAGGTCTTTTACCCTAATTTGGACTGTTAGTGTAAGTCGGGATCCAATTATTAACTGGAAGTTATTTTGGTAATTGATAGCATGAGGATTTTAGCGGATCTGCAGTCAGAGATTTATCTATGGGTTTCAGCTGTCTGAGGTGAGTCTCATCACTGTATCTATGGGTCAAAGGCACCAATGCCGCCCTATTGGCTTATATATTGTTGAAAGACCAAGGGGGTGGCCCTTGGTATTGAATGAAAGACCCGGATGTGGCTCCTGGAAAATCTGTATGCAAGACCAGGGTTCAGACCCTGGCAGTTAAGTAGATTGTTAGTTGTAGATTCTAATGCTTGTTGTCTTTATGATGCTTGCATGGAAAACTAGGAGGTGGCTCTTGGCACTTGTCTGAGGATGTTGTCAAGACAAACATATAGAGCAGCGTTTTACCTCAGTGGCTCGCCCGCAGGAAAATGGACAGATAGAAATATCAAACAAAACGCTAGTGAATGGAATCAAGAAGCGCTTGGGAAAAGCTAGAGGCAGTTGGGTCGAGGAGATACCTAGTGTCATATCGTCCTATAGGATGACACCTCGCACCAGCACGAAAGAGATGTCATTCAACCTCGTTTTGGCACAAAGGTAGTGTTACCTAAATAAATACTTATGGGATCAGTGCACACAATAGGGTTCAGCCAAGAAGCATCAGATAAAGATTTGTGCTACAACTTGGACTTGCTTCATAAAAAGCGAGAAAGAGCCCAACTAAACCAGGCAACATACAAATACTACAACAAACGAATGCAAGCGCGAAACATGAAAGTTAGAGACTTGGTGCTTAAGGCAAATGAAGTCAGTCATAGAAAGCCAAGGGGAAAGCTAGTCCCAGCATGGTAAGGCCCGTACAGGATAACAACGACACACCGCAACGGATCTTATAAATTGGAAACAATGGAGGGGCGACCTATACCAAGAAATTGGCACATCCAGCACTTAAGGAAATTTTTTATTTAGAAAAAAGGAGAGAAGGAGAAGAGATGAAGAACAAGTAATGTCATTTTTTTTCATTTTGTAATAAGTCAAGTAGTAATTAATTAAAATCCTAGGACTGATCACCTTAGGTAGTTCTCTTGCTCATTTTTCCTTTTTCTTTTTTTTTTATCATTATTTTGGTTCAAAGAATTGCAACCTTTGCCAGGAAAAGAGTTGTTTGATTCAAATATCCAACTCGACATAGCGGCAAGAAGTGCAGTCTTGCCTTGGCTCAGAGGGTTGAAACCTTTGCCAAGAAAATAGTTGTATGGTTCAAATGCCCAGCTTGGCATAGCGGCAAGCAGTTTAGTCTTGCCTTGGCTCAAAGGGTTGCAATGTTTTCCAAGAAAAGAGTTGTATGGTTCAAATACGCAACTCGACACAATGGAAAGCAGTTCAGTCTTGCCTTGGCTCAAAGGCATGCAACCTTTGCCAAGAAAAGAGTGAGATGGTTTAAATACCCAACTCAGTGCAAAAGCAAGCAGTTCAGTCTTGCCTTGGCTCAAAGGATTGCAACATTTTCAAAGAAAAGAGTTGTATGGTTCAAATACCCAACTCGACGCAACAGCAAGCATTTCAGTCTTGCCTTGGCTCAAAGGATTGAAACATTTACCAAGAAAAGAGTTTTATGGTTCAAATATCCAACTCAGAGCAAATGCAAGCAGTTCAATCTTACCTTAGCTCAAAGGGCTGTAACTTTTGCCAAGAAAAGAGTTGTATGGTTTAAATGCTCAACTCAATGCAACAGTAGGTAGTTTAGCCCTGTCTTGAAAAAGAATTATAACTTCTACAAGAGAAAGAAGTTATATGGATCAAACACAATAAGCATGCAAGAGAAAAGCGAGCAAACGACATACACGCCAAACCTAGCAAACCTAGGATACGTAGGGCCAACATCGAAAACAATGTATTCGTTCACACCCATTTTAGGGCAACACTAAATCAAAAGCAAGAAAGGATCTTCATTTACCAACTCCTCCGTCCAAGCCCATGATCTTGGCATCGCTGCTAGGATCCGCTCGCCCGTGATCATTATCCACATACAACTAGCTGAGGCCATCAATATGCAGGGAACCTAACTTAATCATGGAAGCATAGTCAAAGGAAATGAATGAGTCAATCGCATCGACCAGCTCCCCTGAATAGCTAGATGTGGAATTGGCAGCACTAGGGTCAAACGTTCCAGCAACCACCGCCTTGCGCAACGCCTCTCTGCTAGACTCCTCGCCAGCAGTGAAGCACATGTTTTTGATGCGTCCCACATCCTACAAAATATATGGATGCTCAATAACTTTGTCAACAATTCTCATTATTCCATCTTTTACCAGCCAGTCCAAGTCACTCCCAAGGCGAGACAACTCTGCCTCTCGATCAAGTTGTAATGTCTCCTTATCCAATAGCTCTCTCTCCAAACTCTCCACTCGAATGTTCAAGGCCTCTTTCTGTTAAAGGGTACCGTTAAGCTTTGAATTCACTTTAGCACAATGCTCCTCAAGAGTCATTTTCTTGCCAGCCAATAACTCCAATTGCTGATGGGAAGACTACACTAAGGATTCCATAGAAGTGACGTGCTGCTGGAGACCCCTCTCATTTGTACGAAGCTTAACAGCCACACTTTTGAGATGGAGAATGCGGTGAGCCCCTGCAGTAAGGAAGAAGGCGCTTTGGGCCGAAGCAAATTCCATAAAGTCAATTGTCTATTCATCTGTAACGGCTTCCACCTCAGAAACGGTCTGTTTAGGGAAGACATGGCACGAAAACTCAATGACAACTTCTTCTTGGGAGAGACAAGAATCATCAGTGAGATTCCATTTGGGATTAAAAAGATTATTAGAAAGAATATTTTTTCCTTGAAAACTGGAAATAAGGTCATCATAGTCCGATGTCTCTAAAACAGCAGGAGACTTTCCCCTATGAACCGTTGGTGGCTCTGCTGGCCCAGTCCCAGTAGGACTTTTGTTTATGATGGGTTTCTTAGACGCCCCTGGTATCTCTTTAGATTGGTATTAAACATCATAAAGGTTATTACCTCGTCACTAGAGGGAATCAGAGTTGTAACAAAGTTGGTGGCAAGCTTGCGTCGACGACAATGGTCAATAACAGTGAAAGACCCACACTTTCATATTTCTGAAAGACCCAAACTTTCATACTTGACAATATAGTTATTCCAAAACATGCTACATGCATATTTATAAAACAATATCTTACATTGATAAAGTGATTACAAAAGATTGGATACAAACCGACTATGTTTTAATATTTTACATAACTACCCAGGATATTGTAATTTTATACAAACATAAACCGAAATACAAAAGTAATATTACAACTATTCTAAACCTTCCAACAGTATGTGACTATACTAGTTACTTATTCCCTGCAAATTTGTTAAACATTGAGAGGGTAAGCGGTGACGCTTAGTGAGTTCAATAATAGATACAATATAACGTTATGCCATATATATACTTCAATATGGCAGAAGCAAAGAGGAACAAGGAACAACAAAGGCATAATGCGAAAAGCTTTCCATATCAATCAATGAGACATAACAATTTCCATACTTGATATACAATCAATAAAGTTTCAGCACAAGTGGCACAGAAAATACTCAGGAATATCATTTTGCTAGAATATTCAGGCTTTCGGCCTTATCTTAGCATACTACCGAAGCCAAAGTGATGCCTATGTCATACACTTCATGGTTAACGGTACATACCAATACCCAAGTGATGCCTATGTCATACACTTCGTAGTCAGAGGTATAGCCTTGCTATAAAAATAGCAGAAATAATAACACGAGATGATAACATGGAAAAGCACATAGCACATATAACACATAACATACAATTGTTCCTATATATTAAACTCACATTGAAATAACCGGGGGGTCAAAATAATAATTTGTGCAGCATTTTGGCTCTAAATATAGCTTTCTTCTATAAAAACCGGGAGATATATTGAAAACCGGGCCTTGCGAAGGTAGAGCTTCAAAATCGAAAAGATAAATTTTTCAGGCTTCTCGGGAACTTTGGGGCGTGTTTCGGGCATTGGAATTAATACTGGGGCTTCGGGGGAAGTGGGAATGTAAGAAATATATCCTAAGGGGTAAAATTTGCCAATTTTCTAACATTTTCTCGGGAGGGTTTGCAGCCCTCCTATTTATAGGGTGAGATTGCGAGGGTTGGATCCGAGGCTAGGGGAGTCAGCAGATGCGAAGGCCACGCGGCAGCAGGAGCTCGATTCGGACGCCAGACGTCGTGCATGCGAGGAGGCCAGGTGCGAGGCTCGGAAGTGTGACACGGGGCGCGCATGCAAGGTGCCAGCGCACCGGACGCGTCATCGACTTCGGACACCTGTGCGACACGCGTCGCTTCTCGGACGCGCCACGCTGCTGCTTCGGATACGTGGCCAGCTCAGAGCGAGGGTGACGTGGTTGGCACTATTCATGCGAAAATTCTCGAAAATTGTGCCCAATTTTGTAAAATCCATAACTTTCTCATACAGGCTCTGTTTTTGACGTTCTTTATATGCACGCGTAGGGAAAATTATGCTCTACAACTTTCGTTTAGACTTCGTCGGAAAATTTTGACTTTGTTTTAATATTATTATTTTTAACAGACCGGGACTGGTAAATCCATTAAAAATTCAAAACTTCTTCTTCCGACGTCCGTTTTCGTCAGACTTTTTACCGTTGTACTGCTAATGACGAGACCTTCGATTCTCGTTTGGGTTGTGTCGGCTAAAAATCACTCGATCTAAAATTCGAGTTTTTAGCTGTCTACTGCTAAGCTGAACCTTAGAAAAATCATAACTTCCTCATACGAAGTCAGATTTTGGCGTTCTTTTTATGAAAATTATCGGTTTAACAAATACTACGACTTTCATTTCGATCACCAAGGCTAAAAAGTAGTTTATCAAAAACTCACTTTTTACGTCATTCGGTGCCGTGCCGGTTTTGTCGCGGATCTTCGATTGGTCATAACTTATTCGTTATAACTCGGATTTCGACGAGGTTTTCGCCTAAATGTTTCTAACGAGATTCTTTACAACTTTAAATAATAAAATTTTACTTATTTCAAATTTTATATTTTCGCTAAATTTCACTATTTGGCTTTTAATTGGAATCTCATAAGACTTCCAATATTTTATGAGTGATTCTAAACATAGTTTTACTTCATTTCTAGTAAAAACTATCTGTTAGAACTCAACACTCAATTTCACATAATATTTCATAATATTATTAACTTTTCAAATTACATAACACGATTTCAAAACGTGTATGTTACAAATACCTCCTCCTTTTGAGGATTTCGTCCCCGAAATCACAACGATTTAGACAAATGAGGATATTTCGCTTTTATCTCATTCTTATTCTTCCTAAGTATAGTTTGGGCCTCGATGATGTTTCCACTTGACAAGCACCAACTTCACTTCTTTATTACGTAGATTAGTCGTTCTTTCATTTATGATCTTTTCAGGTTTTTCTACATATCTTAACTTATTATCCAATTTCTCTTAGGATAACGGAATCGTTTCATCATATACGCTCAAGCATTTGCACAGATAACTCACATGAAATACATCATGACTACCTGCCAAATCTTCAAGCAATTTCCAAGCGGTATGCTTGTTGACCAATTCTCTAGATAATTTTGAAAAGTCCAACAAATCTAGGACTCAATCTCCTTTTCTTCTCAAATTTCATAATACCTTTCCACGGGGATACCTTCAGTATCACCAACTTGGAATTCTATGGGTCGTCTTCTCTTTACTACATAGGACTTTTGTCGATCCTGGGCCGCTTTTATTCTTTCTCGTATAATTTGAATCTTATCAGTGGTGTCTTGAATCATTTCAGGACCACCAAAGATTTTCTGTCCTACATTATGCCAACATAATGGTGTTCACAGTTACTATCGAACTCTAAGACACATGCACGAAGCATATCTTCTACTGTTTGGATTGTTCTCTCCGTCCAACCATCTGTCTGGGGATGATAAGCTGTGTTGGGAGCAACTCAAGATCCCAATTCACTTTTCATACTCGCCCAAAAGTGAGAAGTGAAGCGAGTATCACGATCGGCATTAATCTTTAGTGGCACACCATGTCTCGCCACAATTTCGTCTAAGTAAACTTGTGCGTATTTCTCCATTAGAACCGTTGTACGTATGGCGAGAAAATATGCATTCTTAGTTATTTGGTCGATAATTACCCAAATGCTATCATTCTATATAGCAGTCTTTGGCAATTAGAATAGCACCATGCATAAGGTCAATTCGGAATTCTACTTGCCTATTCGGGGTAGTCCAGGAAATTTATCGGGAAGATCATCAAGATTTTCATTAATAATGGAAACATCATTTACAGTTTTCTTCCCCTCTTTTGAGATATCAACTGTATTAGCCAGATAAGTAGAATATCACTTCGATATAAATTTACGAGTTTTTAAGAAAGAAGTTATTATTTCAACGTAGACATAAATAGAATCCTCTTCTTCGATAGGGATGCATACTATCTCTTTGTAGCACAAGAGTTTTGCGTGGTTCTTTGACAAGCAATCCATGCCGAGAATAATATCAAAGTTGGGCAAGGAGATAGGAATTAGGTTAACAAGAAGATTATAACCTTCAATTCCTATGACACAATCTTTATAGACTTTATCAGCAAGTAATGATATATTTCCTATATAACTATATGAAATGATTGGACAATTGCGTAACAAGCAATTTGAAAAGAATGTGCGAATTTATAAGGCAAGAAAGAATCTGAGGCATCACAATCAAATAAGATGTGAGCAGATCTAAAGTTTACGAGAAAATTACTAGTCACAACATTCGAGTCCTAACTTACTTCTTCTGTTGTAATCTAAAATGTACGATATTTAACTTTTGGTTTGCCAAACGATTGTCAAACTCTTCAAACTTCTTAGTTACTAGCGGTGCTCAAACCTGCACCCGCTCATCATTCTCTATTGGGCCTTCAATCCTAATCTTTGAGTTAAAACTCAATTATCATTGCAGACTCCTGCTCCTTCTTGGTTTATAGACTAAACCCAAGATAAGGCCTTTACTTTTGCTATAACAACAACTCGAATGGTCTTATTCTAATGACCTTTGATTTTATAACGCACAAGACACATAACGAACCAAACTCTTGTATTAGAATTAGATCGAATAAATCGAGCTGATGGAATAAAGAAAACAAAAAGAGTTTGATCAACACGTGGATGCTTCGGAACAGAAAGAATAGCACCACGTATCTCTAGTTCGTGCTTTCAGACATACACATCAATTTTGTCAAATGACAGAATATTTCGATTGATTACTAAATCACGGATTTCATACTGTAATCCTTCCATGAATAACTAAATTCTTCATCGCCTTCATAACAGGTAACATCTCTAGTTAATGGTTACTCAATTCTTTAATGAAGATCGTTATATTTCTATCGACCATCTCGACCATCTCCTTCTTGACTGAAGTTTCGTCATTACTCAATACATGGCTTTCTAAACCAATCAACTTTATCTTTGTAGATTTATATTAATCGGACTCCACTCTTTATGACCTTAAGATTTGAACGAAAATTATCTTCTTAGTCATTACCGAAACGAAGGTAACGACACACATGAATAAAACGGAATCATTTATTAGCTTCTCGGTAACCTTGTGACTTTCCCTGATCC